TGTTCATATGATCTCTTATTTTCAAATTCTATATCTTATAACATGTTCTTACATCATCATATGAGTCATTGGTATTCATTCATATATATACATTAACATATATTCATGTACATCACATAACAAATGCCATAACCCATAACACACATTCTTTCCTGTAACATAAACACACATTCACATATATCAACATATAAAACATGTAACACATTTCTCATTACAACTCACATTTTTTTGTTATCTTTTTGGTTAGCCCATGCACACTACTGAGAACTTAAGGTATGTGAGTACATAGAGGTTGTGCACTATGTTGTCACCACAGCTCGTATAATTCCCACTAGGGGCGCATAGAATTTGTCCTGAATGACCTCTATGTCCCAAAAGACCGCGTAGACCCTCGACTCTTGGCATGCCAATTATACCTATAGCTCTCATAACACATGACATGGGCATTATCTTTTACCCCATTACACATTCACATATTCATCCTTTTCACACATGGTCACACCACATAGTTCTTTATCCCATTTTATATAGTTTACATATACCTTTTTCTCATATGCATATAACATATTATTTCTTATCTTTTAACTTATATTACATATGCATGTAATCTTATGACTTATTATCAATATCTCATAGATCACTATCATGCAATACATATCTCATAACATGTAATGCAACAAGGCATATTCACCTAGATCACAAACATAGAGAAGTAATTATATCTAAACATATAGATAGACTTGAATTTCTCTGAACATCATATCACTACCTGCTTACATCTGGGTACTCATATTACCTAATATCAGAATTAGACTTCTCGCAAGTCATAATTCCTTAACATAACTACACTTCATATCATGTACTCACCTGATCACCAATAACACTACCAAGCTCTTTCTCTTTCTTGCGTATCTTACTCTGACGACCTATCCGAACTTTGCATTCAATCGATGTCTACACAATCATGTATTAATACTTATCAGTATCCAATTGATATACTATAATCTATCAATTCTTAGACTGAAAGAAAGATTTACTCAATTTCCCATAGAAGTGCATCAGTACATTCTACAGTGTATCGATGCATCCCTTAACAGGTGCATCGATGCACTACCCATGCATCGTTACACAATTTACATTCGATGTTTCCATTTTAATGGGTGTATCGAAGCACTCCCTATGCATCGATGCACTCATTGCATTCGATGTTTATATCGTTGAGAGTGCATCGGTACCCATTGAATGTGTATCGATGCACACAGCCCAAAAATTACATTTTAGCACGAAAATCACTTTATTCTAACTCAATTATGCCATACTTCAACCCCTTTCATATCCTAAACTCAAACACACATACATAGCCCATTTGCACTCATTATCACATCTTAAATCTCCAAATCCTATCCTCTACATAGGCTTCAAGAATCATACTCAAATTTCATCATGTTTAAATCCAATTTTAGCATTTCATATCTCTTAAATAAACTACTGACAAGTCAAAATCTTCATTACAACTTTAAAAACCTCTTTATATCAAAAGTTCATTTCTAAACCCATAATAGAATTTCTCTTCTTATTCTCTTTACTTGATGATTTAAGTTCATATAAGCTTTCCTTAAGCTTATATAACACTCAAATAATGAAAACCCACTTATAAATCCAAGAATTCAACGCTAAAATCAAACTTACCTTTTAAACTCGAGCTACGGGAAGGAGAAGAAGAGAGTAAGAAGAAGGCTTCTAGAATTCTCCCAAACCCACGTGTTTAACCCTTATTTAAAGGGAAAAAATATTCTTTAATCATAAAAGACCAAAATACCCCTTTAATTCATCCATTTATGCTATTTGATCCATCCTTAAAATTTCCTTACTTAAGTCCCTAAACTTTTAACTGATTTCTAAATTGAGCACAAAACTTTCAAAATTCTCACTAGCCACTAGCCCTGATTTGGGGATATTACAAGAAGAGTATAAGTTGTTTACAAGAAAGTAAAGTTTAGGAACTTGTCTCATTACATGATTGTGCAAAACCGATTGGTTGCAAATGGATATTTAAAACCAAGATGGATGCAAATGGTAATGTTGATAGGTATAAGGCAAGTCTTGTATCTAAAAGATATACTCATAAAGAATGCATTAATTTTGTAGAGACATTCTATTTGATTTCATTGAAATTCTCTTTTAGGATAATCATGATACTTGTTGCTCATATTTGATTTTGAGTTACATAAGTTGGCTTTCAAAATTGTGTTTCGCAATGGTAACATTGATGAAATATTTTATATGGTGTAATGAGAAAATTGTGTCTAATGATACAAAATTAATGATATACAATTTAAGGAAATCCATTTATTAGTTTAAGTATGACTCTCGTTAATTGTATAACAAATTTCTCCAGGTGATTTCCTCGTTTGGTTTTGAGATAAATTTGGTTGACAATTGTATATATTATAAGTTTAGTGGTAGTAAACCAAATAATGCCCTTTATTGCTAAAGGAAACAAGTTTACTCTTGATCAGCGCCCAAAGAATGATTTTGAAAATATGGAAAAAAATGTTTCTTATCCTTCAAAATAAATAAAGAATTTAATATATACTCAGATTTATATGCATTCAAACATATCATATGCTTTTAAGATATTAAACAAGTATTTAAGAAATTTGGATATGGATCATTGGATAACAACCAAATTGTTCATACAATACATTTAAGAACAAAAAGCGTTACATGCTCACATAATGGAGGTCTAGTAAGTAAAGAATCATCATGTTTATGGACTCCAACTTATTAAATATAGATGCAAAATTTTGTCACATAAATTGCTAATTATGGATTCATAAGAAAGACCACTTGAATTATTTTGTGACTAATTTATTTCATATATAACAGAAACACCTTAAGTCTAAGAACATAGACGTTATGTTTCTGGCTGTTAAAGAAAATTCATGGTGGTTATGTGTTTATAGAGCATATTGGTACAAACTTATTATTGCGTGCTTACTAAGGAACTTTCACCCAATGTCTTTCATGAGCACACCACTCATGTAGGTGTAATATAATTTAAGAATATTTGATTTTAGTGGGGATTTGTAATTTTAATGCTCATCTATTATAAATGCAATTTTAGTTGCTTCAATTTAAAGATATTTATTTTAAGGTTATTTTCTGCAGAAATAAAGTTTGTTTTATCCACACTCTAGTTTTGGTAAAATTTGACCCCACTAATGTTTAAAGAGGACCAGTTGGAAATAGACATATGCGGTTCATATTGTATGTAATTTCAATGCTACGCTTCATGATTGATCTATGCCATTTGATTTTGTTTGTATACGTGATCATTGATAGGTCTAGTCATGATTGATATGAGAAAAACCGATTTGATCCTCTATGGATATAGTTGATGAACGAGATTGTTACAGGATACCTATTGCTTGATAACAAATTTTGAGCTCATAAGGTTATAAATTTATCAAGAAAAATATGTTGCCCAAGTGAGAGATTGTTGGATTAAAATCCATAATCATGGCCACATATTTTTAATGTGTATTGTTATCATAAAATATGACATAAATTAAGTGACCAAATATGTTATAAAGTCATAAGGTATTAGAAGTGTAATGGAAATAAAAGTGTAGATACTATTGAAGTTGTATTTATAATTTGATGAGGGGTAGAGTTATAAATACAGACAATAATTGATTTTTAAATAAGCTATATAAAGGGTTATGATCCCCAACAAATAGATAATCTCATCAAAAAGTTTATACTCAAAGTGCTCTATCTTCTTGGAAGATTACAACTAAAGAAAGGTTTAAGGATTTGAACCTATCAATTAATTCAGGTATGCTTTCGAATCCAATATTTATTCTTGATGATTTGACATGATTAGATCTTGGTTAGTTTTATATTTATTATAGTTTCGTTGTCTACCTTTAAATAAGCCTGCAACAGCATCTGCAAGCATCGATAGTTTCGTAAGTTTCTTTCAATAGTTAGAAGAAACTAAACAAAATAATGAACTTTTTTATGTTTAGATGCCTTTTCATAGCAGCATCCATGACCAGAAACGCACGCAGCCCGTTAAAAAGGAAAAAGTTAAGAAACGTTTATCTTAAAAATGGAACCCCAAATGAAATATAAAGAGAGAAGTTGAACTCGAACCACGAACTCCATGCATGACCAGCAAACATATTAGGAGAAGCACCAATGCCCTAGTAGCCATAGCAGATTACCAAGAGAATTTCTTAATAGTAAAAGAACGAGAGAAAAGATAGAGAGGTGTTCTTACAAACGTACAAGGAAGCCTCCTTGCAATTAGAAACCATCTACAATTTATTAACCAAATTAATAATCCATAGTTAAAATCATCACAACAAATGTTCTTTCTTTTTTATTATTAACCAATGTATAAGTGATTTAATTATGTAAAATAATCAACAATGCATTTAAATTTGTCTACAGTTTAATTTGCTTGGGAGGTGGAAAATACAAACCGGTTGCCAAGAAGGTCTTTTTCTTTCTTTGGTATTTCTCCGCTTTTCATGTTTGGCCTCACTAATTCTTTCATCGCAGTTTGCAACCTCTCCCTCCTCTCTTCAACCCTGCAAATAGAGATGGATCAAGAAGACGGGTGGGGACGGTCGCCCTCTAGAATTTTTAAATTTCTATATAATTTAATTATTTTATTTATATTTTTTTATTGAAAATCTAATTTTATTCCCTAGAAATTTATAATTTCGTACCCTAATATAATATAAGTTTATCTTTCTAACTTTAATTAGAGATCAAGACCAAATTGCAAGGATTCAAAAATCAAAGGTTAAATTGTAAAATATGAAAATTTTAATGCCTTGTTAGAAACACTTGAAACCATAGTGATTTACCCTATGACCTTTTTTATTCCTTCAAAATTTTATACCCTAACCTCTGTTCTATTTAAAATAGAAGAGGTTCTTTTACCTCTTAATTTTCTTATAATTTTAATGCTATTTTCCTTCAACCTTTATAGTTGCCGTCTTCCCCTTTAAATTTCAAACGCCCAGGTCGCCACCGCCACCTCCAGCGGACTCAACGGCGCCCTAACTTTGTTGCCGGTAAGATTTTATCTTACTTTCTCTCTTACATAGCACGGCAGTGCCCCGCAAGCTTAAATAGTAAGCATCCATCGGCCACTGCCAAGATTATACGGGATTGATTTCCCTTTTTCCACTCAACTGCAAGGGTTATTTTTATTTATAATAATAAATCCTTCTTATTATTATTAATATGTTATTAGGTTATTTTTACTTATAATAATAAATCCTTTTCTTCTTATTATTAATTATTAGGTTATGTGATTAATGGATTTAATGGTTTTGGTGTAGATTTAGAGAGCGAGTTGCCTATTCACTCTAACTTAATCTAAATTTTGATATTCTCACCAATCACATCCAAGTTGAGCAGCCACTCTTCTTTGTTGGTAAGTGAAATTCTTAAATTCAACTATTTAATTCTTTTACATTCGAATACCTTGATAATGAATTTTGAAAATTTATCATTAAAATTTGATAATAATTCTCTTGCATTGTTAAAAAAAAACAGAGAAGTGCAAAACTTTACATTTCGAAATATGGGTAATCGAAAAGTTGATTCTTTTTTCAAAAGAAAGAGTACTTCCAGTAGTAATATTGATTCTTCTTATACTGAAAATTTGGTTGATTAAATGAGGTTCAAATTTAATAGTGTTTGTCCTCATACTACTTAGACCTCTCCAAATCCAAGTTCGATACCTGTAGTTCTTCATAGGTAGATAATCGTCTGAGTAAAGCTATAAGAGTTGAACAAGAAACCTTTGATGCATTCACCATTGAGCATAATTCTGGAATACGGAATTCTATATGGGATTTTCCTCCAAATCAACAAGATAATGTTCGTAGAGCGTATATCACTAAGGGACCTTATCAACCCATTCCTTCTAATGATCCAAAATATGTTGATAAGAACATGCGACAGTTTTTCACTTCATGGTATAAATTATTTCTTGATTGGTTGGAATATTCACCAATCAAGGATGTTGCTCATTGTCTTCCATGTTTTCTCTTTAAAAAGCACATTGAACGTTTTGGATCAAATTCTTTTACTCGAGATGGCTTTTGATCTTGGAAAAAAATTAATGCAAGATCTAATTGTGCTTTCCTTAATCATGTCGGGAATTATGCAAATTCTTTCCACAAAAATGCCATGAAAAACTATCATGATTCGAGAAACTCTCTTCAACATATTCAAAAGGTGATCGAGAAACAAACTTCTCGACAAGTTGCACAAAATAGGTTGCAATTCAAAGTTTCTATAGAAGTTGTGAAGTGGTTAACTTTTCAAGGTTGTGCTTTATGGGGTCGCGATGAAACGGAAGATTCAATTAATCGTATAAATTTTCTTGAATTAATAAGTTTATTGGCTTCTTACAATGATGAGATTGTTACAGTTTTGAGTAATGCTCTAAAGAATTTGAAGTATAGTTCTCCGAGAATCCAAAAAAGAAATTCTTTGCCTTTTTTAATCTAGGATACAAAAGTCTATTCGAGCTGAAATTGGAGAACAAAAGTTTTGTGTTATAGTTGATGAAGCCCGTGCTAAATCAAAAAGGGAGCAAATGATGATTGTGTTGAGATATATTGACAAATAAGGTTTTATATGTGAAAGATTTTTTGATCTAGTCCATGTGAAGGAAACTACTTCGTCTGTATTAGAAAAAGAGATTTGTGATGTTCTTTCACGTCATTGTTTGAATGTGAAGGATATAAGAGGTCAAGGATATGATGGTCCTAGCAATATGCATGGTGAATTTAATGGTTTACAAGCATTACTCCTTAAAGAATGTCCATTTAGTTATTACAACATTGTATTGCTCATAGATTACAATCGACCCTAGTGGCAACATCCCAAGAAGTGATTTCAGTAGCACAATTTTTCTCATATTTAACTTTCATCATAAATTTAGTTATCTCTTCATGCAAGAGACAAGATCAGTTGAAAGATATCCAAGCAAGTTATATTGAAGATGTGATTACACTTGAAGGTTTAGAAACAAGAAAGGGTAAAAATCAAATTGGTACTTTACAACGTGCAAGAGATACAAGGTGAGGTTCACATTTATATTCTCTTTGTAGCTTGCTCATGATGTGTGATGCTAACTATTCTATTCTCATGAACATCATGAGTGATGGAAATTCGACTCAGAGAAGTGAAGCAAATAGTGTTTATGATGTGATGACATCGTTTGAGTTCGTATTCATCTTACACATCATGATAAATCTCTTGAGCATCATTGATGATCTTAGTAAATCTTTACAACGTAAATCTAAAGATATACTAAATGCTTTACATTTAGTATCAAGTAAAAAAAACTTATACAAAGATTTAGACGTAGGCACCCGTTTTTGTCCGGGTTATAAATATTATATTAATATTATATTATTATTATTACATTATTATTATAACTATTATATTATAATAAATTATTATTATTATTAATGTTACATATTATATTTTACAGGCCCAAGACCCAGTTACAAATATCAACCCAATTACAAGATGTTGGTTCAAGCCCAAGACCCGGATCCAGACTCGGTTACAAGACCCGACCCGTTTAGATGTTGCCTCCTACATGAAGTCAGTGATCAACACCTCATGCCTCCCATGTGAAACTTGCAATAAATACTCCAAATTCAATAAAAAAATCAATCATCCACCGAAAAATTGCCAAAGTCAAAACCAAACACATAACCCCGAAAATCAGGGGATGATTTCACCTAAACACGTTATTGTCATACCAAACACAAGGAAATTAAGAGGCAAGGACAAGAGTGATTTGGTGATAAAAGGAGGAGGCAATCATTCCAGTAAGGGGATCGAGAATCATTTGAAAAAATAAAAAAGGATATTTTTATAATCAGGGTATGAGAAAACCCAACAAAAACTATCTGTAAAGGGGATTAGCAACCATAATCGAAGAACATCTATTTTTAGCATTTGAAGGGTATTCTCTATTTTTCATTTTATGATTTTTCTTTTCGTTTTTTTATTATTCCGTTTATGTGTGTACATGTGTGTTTCGAAATAAATAAGGGATAGAAAAATTAGAGAAAGATTAGAAATTTACCTGGATTGTGTGAACATGTATGGAGTCTCGTTGACTCCGTTTTATCGCTGTTTAGGTTCCATTGTCGACAAAAAGAAGTTGAAGTTAGTAAATATTTTTTTTAAATCAAAACAGAAAAATAAACTAGAGGAAGAAAGGGAATTTCGGGTTACCTTATTCATGGGTGTTAACGTTGGAGTTTATATTATTGAAGATGGTCTTCGTTCGTCTTCAGGAGAAGGTAATGCCGCTCTACGGTGGGTGTATGGCGGCTGTGGACTTGCTTTACCTTCTCTCGTGAGAAGAAAGAGAGAAGATATTTCTTCTCTATGTAAGTGCGGCCACGAATGAAAGGGGATGAGAAAGAAGGGAATAGAGCTAGGGTTTAGTTTATGATTAAAATAATATACATATTAATTCATAAATTGTAATGTTTCAATAGTTGTTAACACGTGTTTTACAAAAGGGAGGGGTAAATTATGTGACTAATCATTTGAGTTTCAAGGTATTCCATTCGGGTCCTTAAGTTCTTTTAGTTTCTATTGGTAGTTCCCAAGTTTTTGTGTAATTCGTGTTAGCCCTTAGTCTTGGAAAATTTAAATCTTCACTGGTTTGTACATTGGGCAGTGTTATTTTCGAAGTGTTGTATTTTAATCCTATGCATGTATGGTTTATTCTTGATTACAAGGCTTGTAATATTATTTAGTTACCTTTTAATCATATGTTTGTTAATGGGTAAATGGTGACTTTGGTACCCGAAGTATAAATACATTGGTGATTCATGAGTCATTGCTTATTGGCTAAATTCATTATTGCAATTCTAAACAAGTTTATCTTTTAAATTAGGTCACTATTGTTTTTTTATGCGCATGTGTATGTTAATCTTGCAAATACTATTTAATTATCTTGTATTTAATGGTGTATAAATAATGAATTAATTTGTGAATATGGAAAATATCCATAAACGTTATGTTAAGATGTCTTTAAGTTTACCTATATATATTTGCATAGGCATATAGATTTAAATTTTGCATAGTTGATTTATATACATGATATCCTCACGAGCATAACTCGAATCATAATCGGATTAAAGGTAATACCCTTTTAATTTAAAATGGTTTTAATGGGTTGTCTTAACTTATTAGATATCCGCTTTTGACGATTTTAAATTAGAAGTGTATCCTATTAGCGACACCTAAAAATCGATTCAATGCTTTAAAATTTGGGAACGAAAGAAAAAGAAATATTCGGTTATTTAAATCTTTCGAGAAAAGGTAGTTAGAACATATCTAAGATCTTGTCTCGATATTTTTAAATAATCGAATATTCTTTATCATTCTAAATGTTGGGTAATTTTAATTTAATCTATTTTGGTGCTTTTGAATATTGTAAAATCATATGGTGTTGTTTTGTTGGGGATCATAAATCAAATTAAAATCGAATTTGTAAATTTCATTACAAAGACATTAATTAATCGACTAGGTACCGATTTAGGGCGTGTGGGGGTACTAATCCTTCCCTACGCTTAACCGACTCCCGAACTCATTTTCTGGTAACACAAACCTAAATTTGTCCTTTTAATTGAAATTATTATTTTTATTTAAAATGACAAAACGTTTTTGGGTGCCCAATCACACTCCAATTAAAGATTGGTGGCGATTACTCGAACAATATGTTTTTTATCGTAAAAGAATTTCAAAATTTTCGAAACGAGAGGTGTTTTTAAAGCACATTGTTTTTAATTAGAAATCAATCACGAATGGATAATTAAAAATGGTGTGGTTTTTAAAATCACTTTTTCAAAGGAAAAAAATCGTTTCGATTGCTTGGCGACTCCGCTGGGGACTTTTTTTTAGAGAGTCAGGTCTATAGTCGATTAATTAATTGTCTTTGCAATTGAAAGTTATAAATCCGTTCTAATTTGGTTTTTGATTCCCTATTTGGTTTTAATGTGTTCAAGATTTGATTAACCAATAAATAGTTTACTGATATGTTTGCTAATGGTTTCAGATTAATTATGTGTTTAAGGAGGATTGATTTTTTGAGTGTTTTGTGATTATATGTTGTTTTATTTTTTCTTTTCCTCACACACTGCACAGTTGAATTTGCATAATATGAGCTAAAACCCGCTTCGTCCTATTTAATTAGGAGTGAGAGACTACTCTCTCGTGAGGTTTTCACCTCCACATGGGATAGTGGATCGCTCCTCGAGCTCACGCCTTATGATCCTCATGAGGTTTTCACCTCCGCATGGACATAAGAAGGTGTGTTCCCTAGAAATTGAACTCGATCCCCTAAAGCCTGTGATATGCCAGGATTGAGGGTTCAGTAGCCCAAGGGGGCACCGACAAGGACAATTCGAGAACCTATTGCTTTAGAACCTAACCCAGCATATAGTGAACATAGAGCACAAACTTAGGTCGAGCTTGAACCGAACCTTAGGAGTCCCGTGAGGAGGGTACACAAGGAAAATCTTTTTGAGTCATTTAATTTCGTTTTCTGAGTAAATGTATGCGAACTAGAAATCATGCGGTTATGTTTATTTTTCAAATCAGCATGCAAATTAGATATCACGCGGTTAGGGTTTTGATGTTCAAGAAAAGCATGGGGGTAGATATCGTGTTCGGTAGGATCTGATAAAGCATGATTGGGTAGCCAGCATGTGAGGGTAGGATTCTTTAACAAATTATTATCCCTGGTTAATTGATTTATGTTTACTAACTGATTTTCTTTTGTCTTTGCTTTATTTTATTTTGTTTGTTTTGCATTACACTACCCATTTCATGGTGTTGATTTGGGATCGATGTCCATATAGAAGGCCATAATATGTAATGAAAGGTTTATAAAGAGGTTGAGGACAATGCAAATATTCTGAGATGGTCGGAACAATCCCAATTGACCAACGGAGAAAGTTTGATGCCTGGGTACTGTTGAAGTTGTTTGGTTATACTCACATCAATGTACGTCAGAATGATTTGAATGAGCTAAAAGATATATGGGGAAGATGGGAAGCAGTCGATAAAGAGATGTTCTATCAGTTATAAGGAGATATACCTTATCTTCTAGATGTTCCAGTAGATCAAAATCTGTTTAAATCCCTGGCGCAGTTCTGGAATCCCGCTTATAGCTGTTTTACGTTTGGTAGAGTGGATCTGACACCAACAGTAGAAGAATATCAAGCTTTGATCCAGTGTCCGAGGTCCCAAATGGATAGAATCTATACCAAGCCGCCAGTTACTCATTCGTTCAAGAAGAAATTGTTATTGATGACCAGAATGAGTGAATATTTGGTTGTTAAAAACATTAAGAAGAAAAGATAGTGAGTGCATTTCTTGGTTTACTCTGAAATAAGTAATTAATCGTCACCTTGATAAGAGGAAGAAGCTTGACTTGCTTGCTCTAGGGATTTATGGGCTCGTAATTTTCCTGAAGGTGATAGGATATGTAGATATATCAGTTGTTGATCTCTTCGAGAGATTAGATAAGCATGTGGATCCTGTTCCAACTATTCTAGCTGAGATATTTCGATCTTTGAGTTCTTGTAGGAGATAAGGAGAAGGACGCTTTATAGGGTGTGCACCCCTACTGCTAGTGTGGATTCTTAGTCATTTCAAGCACGTTGAAAGGGCACCAGGATGAGTGATTCTAGATGGTTTTCACCTTTGAAGGATTTCTTTTCTAAAGAATGGGGGTTTTACCGAAGAGAAGTGGATGGTAATTTTTAAAGATATCAAGGATGGTGATATTTTATGGCGGGCTTCATGGAATGTCTCTTCGGATATACTTTACAGGTGTGAAGAGCAAGATTGCGTCCCTTTACCAGGTATCTAGGGTTTTGTCAGGTATGCACCTCTGTTAGTTTCTAGACAGTATGGGTCAAGGCAGTTTATTCTAGTCACATGGGGTTTGTCAAGGTCAGATTTTGCATTCAAAGGAGATCAATATAAAAGTCAAGTCAAGGGGGTTGTTGAGGCCTGTAAGCAAACTCGCAGTGTAAAGCTATTCACCTATGATCTCGAGTTATCATAAGAGTATGAGCAACGGAGAAGCAGTCGAGTGAATGACAACATCCCGATGGTAAATCCTGAAAATATTCAGCCTATGGAAGAGCATTTGAGGATGGTGTCATCTCCATTATAGTTAAGCGCGATTTTGAGACAGAAAAGAGATAGTGGAGAATGACTTTGTAAAATCTAGAAGATGAGGTGTATCAGAGAGGATTGGAGATCGATATTCAAAAGAGTAGAGCAGATCGAATTAAAAAAGTAGAGAAGCAACTTCGGCTAGATTTTGATGGCCTTTAATCATCTTACCAGCGAATGGTGAAAGATCAGACAATTTCCATCTCAAGTAAATCATCTGTTGAGTGGAGACAAGAAGTGGCGAGCTTAAAGAGAGAAGCCAGGAAAAGTCAAGGCGAGCTCAAGCAAAGAAGACATCAAGTTATGAGTTTGTCAAAAGAAAAGAGTTGTTTAGAGTAGCGATTACAAAAAGGTCAAGCCCATAATGAGAGATGAAGGGTAAGATTTCGAGTTTAGAGGTTGTATTACACGATACCAGAGCTGGGAGGGTAGTTCAAGTCGTGTAGAAGTTGAGAATCTAAAAAGACGAGTAAATGAGCTTGAAGCCATGGTTCAGGATTTTCAGGCATTCGAGGGAGTTATTGATAGTTCCTTATGAGGGGGATGTTCAATGGCGTTTTTAATGGGAACAAGCTTAGGCGAGAGTCAAGCGAAGAGATGACCTTATTGCTTGTTACCTAGGGCATGCTCGGGGAATCGGATAATATTTAGTCGACCTATCTGAGGAAGCTGTTG